CATAGAAGTAAGCCTTAGAAAAATAAATAGATTCTATATTTTAGATTAATACAATAGAAACAAGAGTTTTTGTTACCTCATTAAAAGCAGGGTATTATGGGAAAGGTAGTTAATTTCTCTTAAAGGAAATTAAATAAAGGGATAAGAAGATGATACAGCATGAGTTGTTAAACAGACAGAGATTCCTGAATTACTTCTTGGTTGCCTTCTGGATTGAAATCATATGGTAATGAGCTTCCTAGCATTCTGAGTCCTGATTGTTTAGTCTCTAAAACTAGTTGTGTCAACTCCATCATGCCCTGCATCTCTATACCAGGTCACATGAGCAACTACCTGGTCATATCCTAGTACAGGCTTAGTAAATATTAACATATGATGATCATTACAACAGATTTATTCACGCTTCAGCTTCTTAATATAGTTATATCCTTAATTAAATCCCAACATATTTTGATTAGCAAAGAAACAGTAATTAAATGTAAGTGTATAATAAGTGTATATTATAAATACATTTCAGGATGTGATTTCTAAGGTCTAAATCACTAAGATGGTCTCTATCACAGTTAATATGTCATATGCCAACCATATATGGTTTAACACACGGAACTTGAACATTTGGCCTGATGATCTTAGGACTAAGAAATGACTGGTTTAAGAGACACTTTGTCAATTTTGTGACTGAACAGACTTTCTACAAATAAATACAAAGGTTAAAAAAAAAGGAAATCAATACGGGGTACCTGGAGACTCAGTTGGTTGAGCGTCCAACTCTTGATTTCACCTTGGATCATGATCTTGCAGACATGGGTTCGACCCCCATGAGGGGCTATGCACTAAGTGCAGAGACTGCTTGGGATTCTCTCTCTCTCTCTCTCTTTCTTTCCCTCCCTGCTTATGCTCTCTCTCTCAAAATAAATAAATAAACATTAAAAAAAAAGAAACCAATATAGTAGTTTGCCTTTATCCACTCTTTTGTTTTCGGTGTTTTCAGTTACATGCAGTCAACCACAGTCCAGACTCAGATGATTCTCCTGACATACTGTCAGAAGTTCAGTAGTAGCCTAATGATAGATCACAGTGCCTACATCATTCCCCTCACTTCATCTCCTCATGTAGGCATTTTATCATCTCACATCATCACAAGAAGGATGAGTAAAGTACAAGATATTTTAAGAGAGACATCTCATTCACGTAACTTATTACAGTATATTATTATAGTGTTACATGTTATTATTAGTTGTGGTTAGTCTCTTACTGTGCCTCATTTAAACATTAGACTTTATCATAGGAAAAAGCATAGTATATATAGGGTTTGGTATATATGCAATTTCAGCCATCCCTGAGGGTCCTGGAACGTAACCTCCTCAGATAAAGGAGCAGTAGTATAATTTTAAAGCACAATCTCCTTTTATACCTTTGCCCGTTCTATTTTCTCCTGAATTTACTTCTCTACCTCTCGACTTACGGTTTCTTTCTTATTTCTTAAGATAACCCTCAGCATCCCTGCCATCAAGGAGTGTGTGATCTAGTGGGAGTAAAGACAGTCATTAATGAAATAATAAATTAACAAAAGATGCAATATCATAACTCTAAATGGTTCAATGAAGGGAAGATATAGAAGTAAATAACAGAGAGGCCTAACTTTGAAGAGTCAGGGATAGTTTCCCTGAGGAAGGGGTGTCGGAGGACACCCCTGAAGGATTAGTATGAGTTAATCAGGCGTGAAGTAGATACAAGAATGTTTCAGGGCAAGAGAACAGATTCATAGAACAAGTAGTATAAGTCAGCAAACTGCTCTTGAGAAGGTGAAAAAAAGAAGCCAGTGTGACTAGTGCAGAGAGAAGAGGAGGAAGCATAGTTTAAGAAGTGTCTGGGGCAAAACCATGCAGGATCTTAAGTTACTGGAAAAACTTTACCTTAATAGGCAACCATTAAAGTATTTGAAGTTTGTGGTGGGGTTAAGTGGGGACAGCGAAGGATGGGTGTGCGAAACCACTAGATTTGCATTTTTGTAGAGGTGATACACTCACATGGCTCAAAAATCAAACTATTATATAAAGTCATTCCTTATATTTGAAAGTAAAGTTCCAACAAGACATACTTATAGATTGGAGGAAAAGAAATAGAGAAAAGTGGATGATTTTAAGAGACAGCCTGGAGGTGATTTCTATGAATATTTTGTGATAAATAGGACCCAGGTAGCGAGTAGGAAGGAGATGTTAGGAATGCTCCTTAGATTTCTGCCCTAACAAGAATAGTTTTAAAACATCAAGATCCACATTTAATGGTTTGAAGATAGCATATTAAGATCACAGAATTATTTAAAGTTATGATGGGATTTTATATGCCACACACAGGGACATTTACATTTGTATATTCTTATTATGTGTAGATATAAATGTCTCAGGAATATCTGTGATACCTTAATTCTCCAAAATAAGCATTCAAAACTTATTTATTCATTCAATGAAGTAGGTTATTTATAGGGTAAACATTTGAAACTCCTCATAGAGTGGCCACATGCCATCTGTATTTTGGAAAACACCAAGAGGCACTATTCAAACGGACTATGTTGTGTAGAACACCCTCTGGGGCTGGGTAGTTCACTATTTTCATGACCCCACAACCTTTGTTCCTATTACCAGGGTAAGATAATAAATGAGTTTAGACAGGCCAGCCTAGTGAAGTTTTCTACAATGTAACTAGCCTCTCTGATTTACCCCACTGTCTCTCAGTTAGGTTTCTAACTGAGTGTGGGAAGAGAAAGATATGCATTGAACTCCTGGATTGAGAAACATTCTATCAGAACACTACTTCCCAAGATACTTTCATGACAAGCATGCAGAGAACGTTTTAATCCCAGAGAAATAAATAATTAGCTTCTAAAAAGGCAGAGGTCTTTTATACCCTCGGTCCATCTGGATGAAGACAAAGGTCACTGTGTTCTGCGCTGAACTGACCACATACCATTCTCTAAAGTGACATAAACAATCAAATATAGCGTGTTGCTTTGTAATATTAGAAAATGAAATTTTAAAAATGTAAGATTTATATTATAAATATTTTAAACAAAAAAATGAAATGTATTAAACAGATTATGCCTAATCTCCTGCTTTGATTCTACAATTACATATATCTTCACGTTACACTCAGAGAGCTGTTCAAAAGAAAAGTTAAGATAATGTTAGTTAGAACTTTCCTTCACATCTAACCCCAAATAAAATATAATTAACTTCCCTGGAAAGTTAAAAATGATTTCCAAAACATAATTGTGATTTAATAAAACTTCGCATCTATGTATGCACATATATAAAGGTATAGAGAGTTGTAGACACCATAAACTTAATTGTAGATGATATTGTAGGCATACAGAAGATGAGCTGATGAGGAAAAAGAAGTTTTCATTTATTTATTTTTGAGAGAGAGAGTGCAAGTGAGCGAGGAAGAGAGACAGAGAGAGAGAGAGAGAGAGAGAGAGAGAGAGAGAAAGAGAATCCCACAAGGTGCAGAGAGAGCAGGAGAGAGAGTGCAGAGCCCGGAGCAGGGTGCAAGCTCATGAACCATGGGATCATGACCTGAGTCAAATTCGGATGCTTTCATCAACTGCACCACCCAGGTGCCCTGAAAACAAAAATTTTTTAATGCTGCAGTGTGTTTCTAGAGAGAAATAATTAATCAAAATCACTAGGATTTACAGGTAATTTCCCTAGTTTTGATCCCCTGGATCTATAATCAATTTACAGTCAGGCCTGAACAAACTTGAGCAAGTCTGATTCACATTATATAGTGGATTTTGAAAAAAAAAATGTACTTGAAGCTACCAGGCGGGATAAGGGTACTTCTCGGCATTTGGTTTTCTCTTCAGTTAATAAGTCTCATTACCTATTTAGCATGTGCACAGCATGGTAGAAAAGGGTTCATAATGATGAATGAATTTTTTTTTAAGTAAAAATGTTTTCTTCCTCATAAACTGTTCTTCACTTTGACATAAAGTACAACCCTGTTCCCCAAAGCTATTGACAAACATCTAAGTTTAACTCACCACATTGTGGGCAAAAGAAGGATATTTTCAAATGAAGGGGACAGCATACATGATCACATTTCAATTAAGAAAATAAAACAGAAAAAAAATTCCCCAAGTATAAATTGATTTGAAATAAGTGTTTTGTGTTGGCTCCATCTCCAAAGTTATTTTCTCAGGTACTACTTATTATGCATTCAATATTGACTTGTAAATTTTTTAAATTTTTTTAATGTTTATTTATTTTTGAGAGAGAGAGAGAGCACGAGCAGGAGAGGGGCAGACAACGAGGGAGACATAGAATCCGAAGCAGGCTCCAGGCTCTGAGCTGTCAGCACAGAGCCCCACATGGGTTTGAGCCCATGGACTGTGAGATCGTGACCTGAGCCTCAGCTGGACACTTAACCGACTGAGCCATCCAGGCACCCCTGACTTGCAAATTTTTAAAAGCGAACTTGTAATAACAATTATATGTGAACAACACGCTGACCAGCATTTTCGTATGGGGTTCATATGGCTGAACTTATTTCTGAAGAACTTTTTAAAGGCAGTTAAAAGCATGCCAAACAAGTCACATCTAACACTTGCAGTTGAATTTTACATAGCAAGGTAAGGTTACTATTTTCTCTTCATGGAGAGACAATACTTTGTAGCAGACAATACTCACAGTAAGAAATAATCCTTTGGTTTGAGTTGCTCAAGATAAAACTTATGAAAGTAAAATGAATATGAAATACTACACTGCAAGTAAGACACTCTGTGTGTATTAATTATGTATATTCAGTAAAATATTACATTAAATCTTTGATCGTTGCCAGAAATTTTAAAATTCTGAGAAGAGAGAAATCAAACTTGAAGAGAAATAATCTCCATAAATTAGCGAAGTAAAAGGTCATCTGCTCATAATCATTGGAGGAAATACATATACGTGATCCAGCTGGTGCAGACAGTTCCTGCAGATCTGCAGGCAAATTCTTACCTTGACAGGTGCCATTTTTCTCCTCATATCCTGCCTTGCACATGCATTTCCCGATGGGCACCAGCCACTCCCCTTCAGCGCTGCAGTGCATTTTGGGTGGTTCGTCTGTCACAGAATGGTTGACACAGGAACCTGACACTTCAAGCAACTGCGAGGAGTCAGCTCCAGTGATTGTGTCAGGGAACACAGCCAAGTGACGTACCACAGAAGGGCATTTTTTATAGTACACACGCACAGAAACCAGAGCAATGCAAGCACCCACATCTTGAAAGGCAAGATAAAATCCTTTCTTGCTTAGAGGTCCTACATCTCTGACCTCTGTATTCAGTTTCATAACGCGGTCACCAAGATCAAGCTCTGTAAAGCTTTCATCGGCAGCAATGGTATCAATTTTGATGTACTGGTTTTCCTTGATGTTTCTCCCATTCTCATCATCCGACTCAAAGTAATACATGTTAAAGGTTTCCTTACAGGTTCCCAATCCTCCAGGAAGACTGTTGCAGTCACGCAGAGTAAACTTGAGTTCTATAAAGATTCTGGAAGCACCTTCATTGGAAATCCAACTGGTCAAAAGCCAGTTATTCTGATTCTGTTCCATAACTTTGCATACTTGGTATGTGTGGATAGGGGCATAATTTTCATCAACTTCGCCAATCTCTTCCCACTATACAATGTAAAATAGAAAGAATTTTTTTTTAATATTTAGAAAATAGCTAGTAAACATAGTCAAAGGAAACGATTTCAGATCTAGAAATTTCTGCCGCCTTCCTCTATGGTATCAGAAGAGGAAGCTCTATAATGAGAACTTTAAAAATACATTTTAGATTAAGTAAATTAATAGCACATTAGTCACTGTAACTCAAAAGTTAACACACACAGATTTCAGGGGTAAAAGAGCATGTATTTCAGAGAAAAAGAAGAAAACTGCATGTGGGTGCAGTTAACAAGCAGTGAAAGGATGTATGTTTGGAAGAAAGTGAAGTATAAAAGCTAAGAAAGTAGATACAATGTGACAGAAAAAAGAAGTATATTAAAAAAAAGACAACAGTAAAAAAGCAGTAAATATGGAAAAGAAGGGATAAAGAAACATGTGAATCCACATTTATTTAATTCTGGCATGTTACAAATAACACATCAATGTAATAAAATGTGAGAGAAAATTCATTACTTTAAAAATTAAAAATAGATGCTTATTTCATTGAACCAATCTGTTTAGGATTCTTTTGCAAATTGGATAGCTAAACTTATTCATAGATTTATCTATGAAATATAAGCCTAGAGACAGATATAAAATAGAGACAAAAATTATATATGAAGAGCCTTGTCATTTTGAATACTGAGTTCTTATTATATCCTGGGAATGCATTAATTCTTTTTACTAACTCATTATTTTATGAATAATGACATTAAGAGTTTGGAATATATATATAAGGTATAGAAAAAAATTAAGCATGGTTTATATAGCTTCCAAAATATTAGGTCAAAGAGATCTAAACTTACCTCTTTCCCAATAAAATTCCAGCTTTTAGACTTTCAGTGTACCATAATCACTTTCTAAACAATACAGAACCAAGTTTTTATTCTCCATAAGGATGTTATTATAATTTAAGGAAGTCTTTTAAACTTGTACAGAATCTGTATACAAAACTGTGTGTATATATGTATATATATATATATATATATATATATACAAGTATATATATATATACAAGTATATATATACAAGTATATATATATACAAGTATATA